TGGATGATGAGGAGTGCATACATTTTTTCCAGGATGTCATCAATGAGAGTGTCAAGACTTTGTTCCCTCAAATACATCAATGGGCCCAGCACTAGCGTTGACCCCCACGAAGTAAAGAGTTATTCATGTCTAAGTTAGCTTATTATAATTTCTAGGTTGTTTGTGTTTTTGTTGCCTAGCAAACAATTAATCTGTTCGGGTACTAACTGGAACAAACTTAAATCATGTTGAAATTGGGTTTTTATCAATTTTGCTGAAAACTGGTTAACTGGAGCGTTTAAGGCTACGTTTCGTACACAAAAAATTGCTGAAAACTGATTAAATTGTCACGGTTCTTACACAAAAAAATCAATCAAGTATATTCTTATCACTGATTAACACAAATATTCATATTGACAGTCAACTGGAGCGTTTAAGGCTACGTTTCGTCTAGCAAGTGCCACGCCACCTCCTGCTCGTGTTCTTAGCCGTGGTATTGGTTGGCAGGTCTGCAAACTACACAAATCTTGAAATTTGGTGAAATAAAAAATAAAAAATAATTTGGTATTTGGTGTTTGGTGTTTGGTAAAAAGAAAAATAATTAACTCGTAATCTATGTTGCAATATATTGACACAGAACTTTATCATGCAGGGAATTGGGATCCTTTTCAATGGACATTTTGGGACAGCTACAGGATCTACAGTTTCTGTGTAAGTACTAACAAAGACTCTTCTATTCAATCCTTTGCTCTTGAACACTGTTCTGGTTGGAAATGGATGCTAACAATTTTATTTTGAAAAAAACCAGAGAAAATGTAGGTCTTCTTCGAACGGCTCGTGTTGGAAGCCACAGGGTTGTACAAATTTCTTTTTTCCATTTGGCTTCTACTTCATTTCTCTTTTCCATTTCCTTCTTTTTGTGCATTTCACTTTGTGTTCTCAAAGCCTCAGACCTTGTTATTTTCTTTGATTTCTTGGTTCTTTTAATTTTTGGTGAGAGCAGTTTCAAGAGTGTGGCTTGAAACTGAATTTTTAGTGATTTTTTTTTTTGCCAAATCACAGATTGTACATACTATTGCTCTTGTATACAGGTAGTAAATTCTCAAGCTTTTTCCTTAGTTAAATTCTTTGGCCTAGTGTTATGTCATATTTTGGTTAAATTCTTTGGTTGTGTTATGCTATATTTAAGTTACATTATTTAGCTGTGTTGTGCTAGATTCAGAAACCCCCCGTAAAAAAAAAAAAAAAAAGTTGCGTTTTTTAAAAAACGCCACTAAATGATGTCATCATGATGTCATGTGACGGAAAAGAAGCAGATGTCAATGTTTTTGTGACGTTTTTTAAAACGCCATCTGATGTTTTTAGCGACGTTTTTGAAATGTTGTAAAGCTATTACGGCGACCGTATCAACGACGAAAATATTAAACGTCATTGTAACTTATGACGGTGTTTTTGAGACTTATAGCGGCGCCGCTAAAAATCAATTTTCCTGTAGTGAATTGAGATATGCTATTACATATCCCATACTTCTAGTAAATATATATCTATATTTCATATCTAGTCACCAAACAAAATGATCAAAGGGTATGTTTTTCTTTGGAATGTTTGTTTTTTTTTTTTTTTTTGGTTCAAGAAAAGGGGGATTTCGGAGTTTGAATCTGAATGTTGAGCTTTGTGGACTCATAACGATTTAGAATATTTTTCACAGACAATTATTCAATAGTCCCAAATATCATTTGTGTGTGTTAAGTTTGAGTTTTTGTATTAAGTTTTTTGAAAATTGAGTTTTTAATTTTTCATATTTTTTTGTTTTTAGTGAATATTTTTTAAATTTTAAGCATTTTTTTTACTTTTTAGATGCACCTTACTTAGATGTATTAAAAAGTAAAAAAATTGTGAAAAAATATTTTAAAAAATTAATAAATACATAAAAATACTAATGCTGTGTTTGGTTGGGGGATTTGGGGAGAGATTTGGAAAGGAAAAGGGAAAAAGTGTGTGAAACTAGGTGAAATGTAGGTACATTTTATTCACATTTCACCTAACTTTTTCCTTTCCCTTTCTAAATCCTTCCTCAAATCCTCCAACCAAACACAGCGTAAAAATATATTGAATTCTCTTTTTTTTTTTTTTTGTATTTTTGATATTTAGTGAATTTTAAAAAAAAAATTACAAAAATTATACTTTTTATGTATATTTATGTTAGATGTGTTTAAAAATTAAAAAAATTACTTTAAATATTAAAAAAAATCAATAAAAATAAAAAAATACGAAAAATAAGAAAATAAATTTTTTTGAAAAGTATTTTTAGAAAACCAAAAATAAGCAAAGTGATTATTTTTCGAAACTATCTAAAAAAAATTTCACGTTCATTGCACCAATTATTCTTTTTCGAAGGTATGAATTGCTTGTCATGTGTTTGGTAGTCAAGAAGGTAGACCAGGATGTTTTGTTGGGCCAAAGCCTCGCTCATCTGTTAATAAAAACGCCAATCATGCTAGAAATCACTAATTTGGTACCTCTAAATCCACCATTAATGAGGTAAAAAAAAAAAACAAAAAACAAAAAAAACAAACAGACATAACACATACTGTGGCAGTGGGTGGGATCCACTGCCACATCATTAATGGTAGTTCTAATTAGAACTCCCACTTATTTTCCTAAAAACGCAGGCTTGCCTTCGCTTAAAATAACTTACAAATGTACATAAATGTCCACCTTTTTTCTAGAATAAAATATATTTTTAGCTTTTAAAGTATGTGTTATATATCATTTTGGTCCTTAATATTTTTATTGTGTTAATTTAATCTTTGATATTTTAATTATATCAATTAATCCCACCACTTTTTGTTTACATGATAGCAAGTGTCGTTTTCATCCAAATTTTATAATAGGGGTATTTTTGCCCAAATTTGAAAAGATATTTGTACATAAAAATAGCTTCATCTGTTTCGCTATAAATTTTTTTTTATGTAAATTAATTTTACACAAAATTATTTTTTTATTTCTGATATTTGATTGACACTTAAAATAAAAAATTTCCATCGTATGCACTAGGCAGAAAGTCTATGAAGAAGCCATCATTTCACTTTTGAAAAGATATATGCGCTGAAATAGTCAAGTTGTGAGTGAACTTCGTAAAAATTAACTTACAAAATTTTTAATAGTGAATTATTTTGAAAATTATAATATTTTACTTATTTTTTATTTAATCAAACAACAAAAAATATATTTTTTTTTTATAAAAACATTTCACGTTGAAGTAATGAATTATTTAAAAAGGAACACACTTTTATTTTTATTTTTATTTTTATTTTCCACAAGCACATACTTCGAATAGCAACACCCTTCTTTGGACGCTAGACATTAGTTACCGGCCCATATTTAGATATGTAGATTGAGATACTCCGACATTTTCAGTCTAAAAACCTGGGCCACGACAAGCCCAGACTCAGTGCTGGGCCAAGTCTGTGATTGCATGAATAATATTTTATAAAATAATGATAACAATAAGATTTATGATTAATGTAAGATATACACCAAAAAAACAGAAAAAATCAAAACTACCTGACAATTTTAATCGATTGATTTTGTAACCCCAGAAAAGGTAAATTATACTATAGTCTTAGTAATTTATCTCTTGTGTCAATTTAATTTATGTATTTTTAATTATATCAATTTTTCTTTTTATTTCATATTGTGTCAATTTAATTCAATTAATAACATTCATTAAAAATTGAATACAAAATTTTAAAAAAAATTATTTATCTCAGAGGCAAAATTGGCATTTTATAAAATAAAATTATTGATGACATCATCACAAGATGTTAAGTTAACTAATGGCTTACTAAGAGAGGGGGTAATATGTAATGTGACCATTAATTTTAGGAAGAAAAATGTAATTTTTAGAGAAACTTATATTAAGTGTAAACCCTAAGGGTGTTAATGTAATTTACTTTAACGCAGTATTTGGTTGAAAGATTTGAAAAGGAAAAAAAAAAAAATTTGTGAAATTCAGTAAAATGTAAATATATTTTATTTATAATTTATCATTTTTTTTTCATTTTTCTTTCTAAATTTCTCTCCAAATCCTTAAACTAAACACAACCTTTTGTAATCACCAGCTTTGAAATCCTAGGTTGGGAGATCTTGACTATTTCTTCTCCAAGATTTGAGAACGAGCGATCAAGAAGAATGGGAGAATGGAAGAATGAGAGAAGGACGTCGTGATTGACAAAGGCCTATTTTAGGAAGATGGTAAAAACATGACTTTTTGGCTTTAACCAACCTTTTGACTTTTTTAGACAAATAATTTGGGAAGTTGGTAAAAAGTTACTTTTAATTTTTTTTATTAATATTTGTTTATGATATCAAATCACAATAAAATAACCAAATTATCCCATTCAATTTAAAATATTTACAACTTCACCTATATAGCACATTTTGACCCATGAGGGGTATAATTGTAATTTCACCAGTGACTAAAAACCAACTTCTCAAATAAAAAAAATACAAAAAAACTAACTTTTGACGTTCGTCACAGGCCTAAAACAGTGACTAAAAGTCAAACTTCCAAAACACCCCCAAAGCGAGGTAGGTCTAGAGTTTTCAGTACAATTGTGATGATTGGATTAGCCAAATACTGATTTTTTGGGCCTCAAATTTATGTCAAGAATGATAGTATACTAGAAATTGAAAATGTATATAATAAGATTATATAAAAAAATAAATTTAAACCACATATTAATATTTGCAAATAATTTCTAAATTTATAATACTAATAAATCGATATTCCATAGAGCTTAGCTTGGAGGCCCAGCCTCCACAACCGTCATTCTACTTTGTTAGGTAGGGAGGGAGGGGTCAATCTCAACTATAATAACTGTACTTCTTGGGACAAAGCCCCAACCGAACTAATAGCATACGTATCTACCATTCAAACAAAGAAATGCAATTCTCCTCTGCTTTCTCGCAAAACTGAAATTCAAGTTAGTTACATACACCAGACAAGAAAAGACTCTTCAAAATTGTGTGGGGGTTAGTTGAGTTTCCAGATATTGAATACAAAACATCACAAACTTGTCTAATATTCTCTTACCTATCTATCACTCCACCACCTTACATATACATTCTTCATGGTTTCAACAAACCTTAGTCTTTCTTGCTTTCCTTCATTTCACTCTCCTCCATTGCTGCATTCAGCAATTCTTCTTACTCTACTTTCATTTTCTTCTGAAAAATTACCTGCATTGTGACAATTTTCTTTTCTTTTTTTAGTATTTCGCTACTGGGTCTGGAACTGAGTTTTTTAGTACTGGGGGACTTCTTGAATGGGTTGGGAAGAAACTAACTGAGCTTGTAACTTTATTTCAAATTCAAGGTACCTTGTTCTAACTTGCATTTGCAACATAAAGAAAGTGAGAAGTAACTTTTTGTTTTGAAAAAATAAAAATAAAAAATCACAAATGGTGTCCAAAATTTGGCCCCTGTTTTTGCCCCTGCTTTCATGATGCTTTATTTATTTTCAGCAATTAATTCAATCTGCAATAGTAGAGCAAGAATGCAGGACAGAAACAGATTCATGAAATTGTCTTCCACAATTGACAGACACAGTTCACTCAGACTTCAAATGTTCAGCACCCAATATGCCATCTTGTTCAAGTCCAATCAAGTAAGGCACCATAATTGTTCTCATATCAACCCCTTTTCTTGAATAGATGCATGTTGAAGTCTCTCTCTCTCTCCCTCTCTCTCTCTCTCTCTCTCTCTATATATATATATATACATATATATAATAAGATTTTTTTTTTTTTTTTTGAACCATATATATATAATATGATTAGTGAAGTGTTTTTCTATCTAAATGGTTGCAGGATGACCACAGTGAATCGTACCTTGCACTTTTTTTTGTGATTCGTATGGTTTTATACGTCTCAATTTTAGGTAAGTTACTTGAAGATGTACCAAACCTTTAATTTAGAGTTATTTTTATATTAGAATATTATACAAACTAATAACACAATGTCACTCCTTATATTATTCATCAATAGTTAACATAAAATCATAAATCCCATAATATTCATCAATCACAATTATCTGGTGGTTAACCTAAACATGTTACAAACCAATAACAAAATGTCACCCGTAGTATTATTTACCAATAACCAAAATAAAATGATGAATTTCACAATATTCATCAATCACAACCATCTTGTGGAATCATTTTCATGAGTACTGAATGACTCCACCATCCATGTCAAAACTAAATAAATGATTCTGTAAACACATAAATTTAAGGGGATAAAGAAAGTAGTATTGAAGGGACATGTGATTTGGATTCCACTTGGTTTGGCTAATTGAGATAGAATTTAAAATCATTTATTTTTTAAGGGAGATATGATTTGGATTTCGTTCAAAAAATAGAATTTAAAATCATTTAATTATTTATTTATTGCTCTTTTTTAACTTATTTTATTTTATTTTTTTATTTTCTTGCTAAGTAAAAATTGCATTAAATACTTTGACAAAGACTCTAAAATAATAGTGAAATAGCTTAAATTTCACCTATTGACTTTCAACTATTGTGTCCCCAAACCAAAGCCATAGCTGAAATAAGCAGCTTAAATTCTATTTTTCAATTATTAACTTTCAACTTGCCCCAAACAAATTCTAATTGATGTAATTCTATCTGCTTTCATAGCTTTTGGAAATTGATCTTATGCCTATCCATTTCATTCATAGCAAAATCACTTTCATACATAAGCCTCATAACCAAGGCTGGCTCAAGATAAATTGAGGCTTAAATCAACAAGTTAAAATGAGATTTTTTACAAATTTTTAATATTATTATAAAATATTATTTAAAACTTATTTTTCTAGGACCTTGATATACAAAATTACCAGTTAAAGTTTCATATCAAGTTTTGTTAATATATTTGTTTGAATTAATAGTAAGTTAACCCACTCTTTTATGCCATTTTGTTAACAATACATGTATTTGGAAAGGGCCAATTTTTTATTTTTTTACATGGTTTAGTACTTCAATTAATTCTGAAAATTCTTCAAAAATTATATTGTCTCATTATCAAATTTCTCATCAATTTATAAGAAAGATGTCACATCAAAGAGCAAGAAACATTTGTAAAATTTGTTAATTTGCATATCATTACTCATATTGTAGGTTTATTTCACTTCTAGTAAAAGAAACTAGTAAAAAAATATTTATTTGTATAATACTACTAATATGATATAACAATTGTAGGCCTTCTTTCTTAATGGGTAGAACCTTTTTTTTTTTAATAAAAGAATGATAATATTTTATAGGCCTTAACTACAATTTTTGAAAATTTGGAATCTTGTTCAGCTTGTTTGGTTTGAATTTTCGGAATTCACTTTTCAAAAAATTAAAAAAATTTATTTTTTGTATTTTTTATTTTTACTCAATTTTTTTAATATTCTAAGCAATTTTTTTAATTTTTAGATACACCTAATATAAATACACTTAAAAAGTATGATATTTGTGAAAAAAATATTTAGAAAATTCATTAAATACCAAAAATATATAAAATAAAATAAAATGAGAATTCAGTACATTTTTTATATTCTTGAGTATTTATTGATTTTTTAAATTTTTATTTTTTAGATACATCTAAATAAGACGTATCTAAAAAAATAAAAATTAAAAATTACTTAAAATTTTAAAAATATTCACTAAAAATAAAAACTTAATTTTTAAAAAATTAAATTAAAAAATTGAAAGTAAACATACTAATTAAAATTTGTAGACTAAAAGCACATGCTTTGATGGCTCAAGGGGTAAGCCGGGCTACACATAACCAAACACAAACATCCCAGATGGACATAAGAATCACAAAGAGATAGAACCCACCTCATACAAAATGATTGTATCCAATTATCTGATTAGTTTCGCTATCAATCATTTTATATGCCATGTTTGGTTAGGTGGCGTAGATAGAATGGCTAAATTGAACTATGCTCTGTTTTTGTACACCGTTGATCATGCTGATAAAACGTAATGCAGCTGTTCTCGTGATTGTGGTCGCTCTGATCATCAAATACCTGGGGGACTATGGAAATGACTTCATTATAGAAAACACGACCACATCTGAGACTAATCATTTGTTACCAAAGGAGGCCCCAATTTCATTCTCGTACGGAACATGCGAAAAAGAAGATGTAGAAAAAGATGGAAAAAGAAAGTCCAATGGCAATTCCTCGGATGAATTGTATGATGGGAAAATATGCATAATTTGCTATGAAGAGCCACGGAATTGCTTCTTTGTTCCTTGTGGTCACTGTGCTACCTGCCATGTTTGTGCCCACAGGTATAGTGCTCTTGCTTATGCCTTTGTTTTTGTTTTTAAATTTTTGGGTTTCGTATTTTTAAAAATAAAAGTAATGAAATATTTACAAAAACATTCCTCGTCTTCGTTTTGTTTTGTGTTTATTTAAAAGTGGACTTCTTTTCTTTTTTCTTTTTTCTTTTTTCTTTTTTCTTTTTCTTCCTATAATCTCTCCCTGTGAAACCAATGGGTACAACCAATTGACCGAAGGTAAGCTATTTTATTTTCTTTTCAAAAATCCAATATTTAAATAGTCTTACAAATTTAAAACTTTCACATAAATAGAGAACTATATTATAATTTCAAATCTTTAGAGCAACTCTAATAGCTTCCCTAAACTTGTTTTTTAGCTACTTTGTGAGAAGTTATCTGGTAAGTCTGCCATCTTACATGAGATTTAGGGTGACTGTTGTGCAGGTTGTACAGCAGTCACTGTTATACAGTCAAATGAGTCCATTTAGAAATTCATTTCAATAATCTAAATCGTTCACATTTTAGAATACATCAAGTAGAACATATTTGCAAAAAATGAAGTTAATCGGATATTATTTACCCATTCATCTACTCGCATTTGTATCTACAAAAATAAATAACAATTGTGATTTAAAATATTAAAATGAATACAAATGTGAGTGGATGAAAGGTAAACGATATCTGATTAACTTAATTTTTTACAGGTATATTCTACTTAATGTATTCTAAAATGTAAACGGTTTGAATTATCGAAATGAACCCCAAAATGAGCCCATCTGGCTACACAACAGTGATTGCTATGCACCCATGCACAACAATCACCCCAAATCCAATCACATGACTGTCTGCCCATCTTATTACAAAAGAATACTTAATTACTTTGTTCAAAATATACGAGAAATAATATGAAACATTAAGGGTGTGTTGAGGCGACGGAGGCGGAGGCGCGGCGATCGGCGACGGATCGGAGACGGCGGCGACCCCTCTCCCTCTCCCTCTCCCTCTCCCTCTTTCTCTCCCTCTCCCTCTCTCTCTTCCTCCGCTTCGACCTTCCTCTGCGTCAAAAATGGCAGAAAAAAAGAAAAAAAAAAAATTCGAGCCACATTCGAGCCAGGCATCTCGGGCCCTCAAACATTTTCCTTTAAATTTTTGGGTTTCGTATTTTTAAAAATAAAAATAATGAAATATTTACAAAAACATTCCTCGTCTTCGTTTGTTTTTTGTTTTTTTAAACAACATTGATAGAGACCCTCTCCAATCATCACTCCCACACACACACGTGTCTGGTGGTGATTGGAGGAGAAGGGAAAAAAAAAGAAAAAAAACTGGCCAATGAGAGAAAAAATTGGTCAAAGGAGTGGAAAGGAAAGGGGATTTGAAACATTTTTCTTTTTTAAAAGTGGATTTCTTTTCTTTTTTTTCTTTTTTCTTCATTCTTTTTTTCCTATAATCTCTCCCTTTGAAACCAATGGGTACAACCAATTGACCGAAGGTAAGCTATTTTATTTTCTTTTCAAAAATCCAATATTTAAATAGTCTTACAAATTTAGAACTTTCAAATAAATAGAGTACTATATTACAATTTCAAATCTTTAGAGCAACTCTAATAGCTTCCCTAAATTTGTTTTTTAGCTACCTTGTGAGAAGTTATCTGGTAAGTCTGCCACATTACATGAGATTTGGGGTGACTGTTGTGCAGAATGTACAACAGTCACTGTTATGCAGCCAAATGAGTCCATTTCGAAATTTATTTCAATAATCTAAATCGTTCACATTTTAGAATATATCAAGTAGAACATACTTGCAAAAAATTAAGTTAATCGGATATCATTTATCCATTCATCTACTCATATTTGTATCTACAAAAATAAATAACAATTGTGATTTAAAATATTAAAATGAATACAAATATGAGTGGATAAAAGGTAAATGATATCTAATTAACTTGATTTTTTACAAGTGTATTCTACTTAATATATTCTAAAATGTAAACGGCTTGGATTATCAAAATGAATCCCAAAATGGACTCATTTGACTACACAACAGTGATTACTATGCACCCTCGCACAACAATCACCCCAAATCCTACCACATGTCTGCCCATCTTATTACAAAAGAATACTTAATTACTTTGTCCAAAATATACGAGAAATAGTATGAAACATTAATTATATGAGCTTATACAATTGCATAAGTACACCACAGAAAATATAGAACAGACCTATTAAATGTTGGGTAAATTACAAATGCACCTCCTGAGATTTGCTTAAAATACGAATTGTCCCTATGGTTTGAAAAATTACAAATACCACTCTGTCGGATTTTTTTTTTTTTAAACAGAATTAATTGAAAGAGTGAAATTTCTAACTGTTCACCTGTATAATAATAAAATTATCTTAGTTATTAATTGAAACAAAATTTTAACATTATTAAAAATTGTTAATTAACTTGATAATTTATTAATAAGAGGGCTCATTTGTTATGAAATTAGAAATCTTAGGAGGTGTAGGAGGGGTTAACTTGAGCCCACTAAATTAATTGAGCATAATCAAAGCCCAATCGAAAAGTCCAAAAATTGGTGAGCTTTGAGAAATTATTGCCAAATGGGCCAAGTGAATTCTATTGAATGGACCCATAAGAAAGCCAACAAATTGGGTCGAGGAAGACCCATCAAGTATATATCTCTAAAGAGAGTCCAACAAGCCCATTTGAGGAGACTCAGATCATATGGGCGTTCAAGGAGGTTAACCATTGTTTTCAAAAGAGATGAAACCCTCGAAGGAGATCCATTCTTCAAGATATTGGCTTAGTCTTGAAAGAGTTCGGAACCACGAATCTAGAGACATATTTGAGCTCAGACTTAAAAGGATTCGGATTCACGAACCTAGAGATTCGAAGTACTTGGCTTCGAACGGATTTGAGCGTAATCTAGAAGTCGCTCCGTTAACGAGTCTCAGAACACTTGCAGGTTTGGAGCTTTCTAGAATCTATGCACCAGAACCATGGGCGTGACGGAGTCTAAACAAAGGACCCGATCCTGAGGATGGTGAGTGAAGATAAATTCACTCTTCGGTTAAACTAGCTTATAACCGGGTCGAGATGGCACGATCTAGGGGGTCCTTGAGACTCGGCAATATTTGCGACAGGGCGTTCTCCTGAACTGCCCCTGCCATTTCTGCAGCAGGGCGTCCTCTGGGACTACCCCTGATCCTTTGGAATGATTGAGGATTATTGGTTAGATGTGGCTAAGAAGAAGGGTTTGTCGAGAGATTGATCTCCTCTTCGAGGTTTTCTTCATCCTTAGAGAAATCACTTCCTCGGACAAAGTGGTTAGAGAAAATATTTCTCATGTGCCTTGCACATAGGCTCTATCCTACATCATGAGGTTCCTATAAATAGCATCTACCCATAACTTTACAATGGATGAATTTTGGAGAGACAACTTTTGGGAAAGAACTAATTTCTCTGCTCCATTATTTATCTTGAAAGTGAAAGTGGGAGATCTATAGAAGAGTCTTGTCATTATTCTTTCATTAACTACTTTGCTTTCTTCTTCACCCAATCTCTTATTTCCATCATCTCTTGAGTTTTCTTCAAAGATCTTCGAAGATCTTTGAATTTTTTAGACTACATTCTTGAACCCTCTCATATAGGGAGCATAATGTAATTTTTAGAAGCACAAAAAATAATTTGTAATTTAAATAAACCTCAGAAGGTATGTTTGTAATTTACCCTTAAATATTTTCTCCAATTTTGGAGAAATTTAGACCATGAAAAGAGCTCGAATAACTTTCCCAAAAGGAAAAGCCCCAAGAGACTATAAAGTTAACTAGCATGCTTTGTTTCCTTAAATAAAATTAAAAAAATTATTTATTTCACCTTTCGTCCCTCTCTCTCTCTCTCTCTTTCTTTTTCTTATGTTCCAAATTAATAGGCAATTAAATATTTCAAAATTATAGAGAATAAATAAAGAGTATTGTTGGATAAATTTTATAAAAAGATGGTTTCCTAGAATAGAGAATTTACTTTTTAACTAAAATTTATGAAATTAATATGGAACATGGTTAGAGATATTGCTCCTATAGTCCTCGTTTTGTATTCTTTTTTTTTTTGTTTTCTTTTTGCCTAGTGGTTTAGGCATGAGACTTAAGAGTTTGCTCTTCTCTAAGTTTCACGTTTAAAACCTCTTAAGTGCTATCAATTTTTGTGTTGGATCAGTCCATACGGAGCTTTACTCTGATTTTAAATGGGCCCCCTAGTGGACAATGGAATTGGTCCTCTAAGAATTAGTCAAGGTGCGTGCAAGATAACCCGAACACCCTAAGTTATCAATATATATATATATATATATTACTCCTATAGTCCATATGTCTAAGATCAAGTGGAAATTTCCAGACAAGACAATCTCGAGACATAATTTTTAATGATTGAAATAGTAATCAAAATGAAATATTGATGAATTTTGAAATGAAAATTTTTGTGTCACATATGTATATATATATCTTACAAAAAAATTGGTTAATGTAGGATTATGGATGAGGAAAGCAGGACATGCCCAGTATGTCGAATATTGATTCGCAGAGTAAAAAGACTTTTTAACATCCCACAAAATCAAACTGACGAGTAAGAAATTTCATTTGCCGAGAAAATTTGCATCTTTGGAGCAAGGATGGAAAATTATTCTATTGCTTGGTTTGGACCTAGTGTTGGAATTACAAGTAGCCAAACAGAAGGATGATATCACATTACATGAGCAATGTAAGAGAGTTTTCTTCTTTCTTTTCAACTTATTTTGATTCTTTTTTTATAAAGGATAAGATTAAGGGCTAATTTGGCATGTACTAAATAAGTCAAAAAGTTAAAAAGTCACTATCTTATTTAAGTCACATCATCTTATTTAAATCACATCACCTCTCTAACACATCACATCAAACCCAACCCAAACCCAACCCAAACCCACCAATAAATCAAAAAAGTGTACTTTTTTAGGACATCCCAAACCAACCCTAAAATAATCTCATCCTTTCCACCAATTGAGGTTGAGTCTATTATGATTCAGTGTTGATCTTAAATTTTCTATTATAGAAAATTTTCCAATTGTAAATGATATTTTATTTTACCAAATTTTATATTTTCCCACGTATACATTGGATATTTTGTTATTTTAATAACAAATTGAAGAGGGTGGAGAGTCTTTATAACCTCTTAGTGAATTATATTTAATAACAAATTGAAGAGGGTGGAGAGTCTTTATAACCTCTTAGTGAATTATATAGATTTTAGCTAACATGATAATCAAATATTGTGACAACAGTCTTAAAGGATGGTTTTAACATTTTCCTTAATTAATTGCAATTTATAAACATAACATTATAACTTCATTAGTGAAAACAACATTATTATATTATGTTCTTTTGGTAAATTACACTTCCCCTTTATGTTTGGCCATTTTTTCACTTTCACCCTTTAAGGGGTTTTTTTTTTCTTTTCATTTCGGCTCTTTATATTTAAAGATTTTACAATTTTTTACAAAAGTTAACTCATATGTCTAAAATTAGACAGAAAGTAACACATTGATAATCACGTTATATAAAAATATTATATTATATTATATTAGACATTGGCCATGTCTAATATTATATTATATAAAATTCATAATTATATTAGACATTGGCCATGTCTAATATTATATTATATAGAATTCACACTTTTTACACAAACCAAAATTTTAATATAATAATATATTTTTATGTCATGTGATAACTAACGTAATATTTTTTTATCTAATTTTAAACATAAATTAATTTCAAATATAAATTAAAAAATACATAAAGGATCAAAATAAATAAATAAAAAATAGAAAGAAAAAAAAACTTAAAGAATCAAAATAAAAAATGGCCCAACATAATGGACAAGAATAATTAGCCATGTTGCTTTGTTCCAAAGCAAAATTTTTGGGAGTGCATTGCACACTATAGTAATTCTATATAAACTTATATAAATTTTTATGAACTTGCATAAGTAATTTTATAAAAACAAGTTAATTCAACAAAAAAATCACATAATTATGTAAATTTACATAAATTTGTGTTTTATTTATATATTTTTATGTAATTAATTATATTAATTTATAAAAATTTATGTAATTTTATCAAACATTGTAGATGGGAGTATTTCCCTATAAAGAATAGCTTTGATCCAACATAACGAATAGTTTGATTCTCTAAAATTGAAAACCAAAATCAGCTTTTAATAATAACCACCTCTTTTTGAGAACCAATAGAACAACGAATAACGGCTTTTCATGACCAACTCTCTTCCATGATCGTACGTAGGAAAGTATTGGAGGAAAAGAGCTCTGAGTTCTAAGCAGAGCTCCACCGACGTGTCAGGAAATAAAATAAAAAAATAAAATAAGATAATTAATTAATGGATGAGATTTACTGTTAATTTATTAAAACTGTGATTAAAGTTCTATAATTAGAATTCTAAGATATTTTTGAGAAAAAATTATTAGTAGTTGGTAAGTGTGAGTGTCAATTTCCAACCACACTACTAATCAAACACTCAGCTGCAGAACACTGTCAGAAGATTAAGCCCGAACAACCTGTCATATAAAGAAAAGATTCCCGAACAACCTGTCACATAAAAAAGAGATTCCGGCGGTGGTTCGTCCACCCGAGGGCACTCCGGTTGTCAAGTCAGTTATAAAGCAAAAGTACTTAACTCACTATTTAGAGCATAAAAAGCATATCTTGGACCTATGAGGGTGCCTATCTTTTATAGTCAACACAAACCTAGTCCCAATAGAAGGCTTTAATAGACTTAGAATTACTGTTAATCTTGAACTCCCAGTAGGATTGGAATAAACTCTCTAATAGTTTTATCTTTATCCAAACTGAAGTCCACTCCCATTTTAGGACTCTTGTCCCTTATCCGCTTAGGCCGGATTCGGATTTCTTCGCACATAAGCTCGGCCTAGTCGAAATCATCTCAGCATCATGATCAAAACACGTGGCACCTCAGCTGACATTTCGGTAACACCTCAACCGAATGTTGTGATTCAAAATTTATCTCCTTACAATAAGTAATATCACGGAATTATATTTTTGACAAATCACAAGTGATCTTATTTTTTTTTATATATTTTTTAATAATTTCAAATAAAATTGTAAATTTTCACTCTTTCATCAATCATGAAGCGCCATGATGTACCTTTTAAATCCACCATTAACTTCTCGTAATGGAGGGCTTTTGGACACACGCTCCCGGTTGTCCACACAAGGTGGCGACACGATTGTCTGACTTTCCTCGTGCTTTTCGTCTGGGTCCCCCCACTTAACCTATGATCACTATCAGATTATTTGTTTGTTTTCATGATCCTTTGATACTAAATTTATATTCTGTCTACCAGTGCGTGAATTGGACCGTACTACTTTATTAATTCAATTTGGACCAAAATTGTTAAAAAGTATTGAAATATTTTTAAATATATATATATATATTAAATCAGTATAATTTTATAAAAATAATTATAAATTAATAAAAAATTTATAAATACTAATAATTAAAATTATATACTTTTTTATGAATTTCTATTTTTTTTTAAATCTCACTATAATGCAATAAATTTGTACTTCTTAGAAACTCATTATTATTTTTTAATTGATACGTTACCTATCACTATATGTATTGATATGTTTTCAGGTAATTTAAGCATATAATATCCTGAAACACAAATTTATATGTACAAGAGATTTAAAGACATATCATGCTTGCTACATAACACAAACTTAAATACTTCAAAGAGAGTATAAAATATAAGTTTCTACTATTTTAATATTACAAACCACTAATAAATATATTTGATACACAATATATACATATATATAAAATCAGACATTCAAAGATTACATACCGTTCAATTTCACAGATTTATATTTTCCAGTCACTATTGACGAAACCCTTTGAGAAATTAGACAGGATGGAATTGGCCTATCTATATCCTGTTTTCTCTTTATTATGGTACAAACCAAACAATACCAACCGATACAATACAAGAGTAACAATATTGATTTTAACAACAACTTTTTTTTTTGGGTTGTAATTTTTAATTTTTTTTTTATATTGTTTCTCCTCATGGAACGATTCCACTCTATTTCAGTAGATTATTAATATAGAAAGAATAAGTTGATTGGACTCTATTGAATTTGGTGAACTTTTTTTGACATTAACTTCAATGTTTTAAGATTTGTTGGGTAAAATATTCAAAAAAAAGAAAATTAAAATAATTGGATACTAATAATTATATGTTTGAATCACATTTATTAATGTGATTCAAACATATAATTAACTATCCTATTATCTTTTTTATTTTTTTTTCATAAACATTCTACTTAATGAATCATAAAATATGAACGATTCTAATTACTAAAATCAGTTCAAAAATAAACCCATCAAACCCAAACACTGAATCCAAACCTTCAAAAAAAACATGTACTAATTATTGTACTCAATCTATTGATTAATATTTGAATTAAAAAAAGATTAGCTACATTCCATGGAATGTTTCACCTTCACTTACCCTTTAAATTTATGTAACGATTGAGCTGCACTAATGGAATGTTTTGCTTTCACTGTCACTTTATATTTTAATATTAACGATAATAATCTCTCTAAATTGTGAGCCCTAAACCAACTTTAGTGAGCTAAAAAATTCAAAAAGAAAAGAAAAAAAAAGAACACACAAGGCCAAAACATCACATCATATAGAACTTATATACACATTAAAATTATTAGAACTCTTAATTTAGAGTTTTCAAACATTTCTCTTAGGGCCCGTTTGTTTTGGGAGATAGAATAGAGGGGATTGATAGTGAGGGGATTAATAGTGAGGGGATTATTAATGAGGAGATTGATAGTGAGGGGATTAGTAGTGAGGGGATTGATAGTGAGGGGATTAGTAGTGAGGAATTGTTAAATTATTTTTATATAAAATAATAAAACAAATAAAAAAATATAAAAAATTAAAAATTATATTTTATTTTGGTGATCTAAAATAATGTTCTTTTCTAAAACCGACTTTGAGCTGAATGACTGAATCAAATTCCACCAAAAAAAACAAAAAAACAAATAGACAACAAATGAACCCTCATCCCAATCAATTTGCTAAATGTCAAAACCAACGGAATAGTTGGGTTATCTCATTAAGAAATAAGTGGTTCAAATGTCCTTATTTATTATGAGTCTTGTTTCTTGTTTATTTATTATGATATATATTAAATAATACCAACCGGAACGATACAAGATTAACAATATTGATTTGGACAATAATTTATTTTTATTTTTTTTTGGTAATTTTTAAAAAAAATTCATATTGTTTCTCTTGATGGAACCATTCCACTCTATTATGATGATTTGGGTAGTCAATTTTATATAAAGTTCATTCAGTAGATAATTAATATAGAAAGAATAAGTTGATTCCGCTCTATTGAATTTGGTGGGTTTGTTTTGAGATTGACCTCAACGTTTTGAAGCTTTACTTTCTAAAATTTATTGAGTAAAATATTTATTAAAAAAAAAAAGATAATCGGACATTGATAACTATATATTTAAATTACATTTATTAATGTAATTCAAACATATAACTATCGTTATTATCATTTTGATTTTTTTTCATAAACATTCTACTCAACGAATCAAAAAAATTAATAGTTGTAATCATTAAAATCAATCCAAAAATAAACCCATCAAACCCAAACACTCAATCCAAACCTTTTAAAAAAG